CTTCAGCCGTCGCCTCCTATCTCCTCTCCTCTCACTGTCCCTCCTCCTCCTCACTTGCCCGTTGTCACTACCACTAGCTTTGCTCATAATTATGAACTTTAAACTATTGCTTCCTGAACTTGTGCTCAGAATGTGTGGTGACATTGTGATCCACCCTGAGCTTGTTCTGCTTTGCTTGCTCTGCTGATTACACCCCACTTTGGCTATGGGGGTGTGTCAGAATATTATGCTCTAGCCTGTAGTGGGGTGCTCTATAGCGAGTACAACCCTTCTAGGGTTTGCTATTTGTATCCTCATTCTTGCTAGTGCACCTCCTCCTTCTTTGCCTAAACTGTTTCTTGCCTAGCTAGGGCTTTCCTAGCTATGGCGCCTTCTTCTACTGCTTATTTTCACACTTTGTAATATAAGTGGTTGAAAGAAATGATTGGTCTTCTTTTATGGGCTGTAGTTCATGATGGTTGTAACTCCAAGCGCACCCCCTAAAAATAAACACACATTTTATTATAAGCGCACCTGCGCTTCTACTGTATCCGGGGTATTACGGTGTAGGGGGGAATACAGTACACCACCCTTCTGTACATCGCTCAGCTAAAGCACCAGGCCCCTAGATTCGTTTTGGGACACTCTGATGGGTCAGCGTGCACCCTTCTTTGAACTCTGTCAGTCAAAGTTGCCTGAAATTTTGAGGCTGGAAATTCAGACAACACTAGTTTTTTTAGGCTGAACATTCAGAGTTACACTCAAATTGAAGGCAGATGACTTTTATACTTTATTAAAGAAACATTTCAACTATCTGACTCCGATTTTGACAGATAAGTATCTACAGCTGCCCGCTCAACTACTCGCTCCTCTACAAGCTCCTTCCCAGCCCTTGGGGGCTCCCTGTGTCTTGAAGCAGGTGCTGTGACTGGCCGGCGCTTCTTGTAGCTGTGCCAAATCTCTACTACACCAGGCACATCTAGCTCATAGTCTAGCAATGACATACACAGCAGATCACTAAGCCTACAGTCCTTGATACTGTCCCACTGCCACGTCTTGATGAGATTCTGTCGAGAGAATCCTCTCTCACACTCGACGGTGCTGAGAGGCAGCACTGCAATCGCCACCCATAGTCTGACGAGGTTGGGGTACGCTTGCTGCTAGTCAGGTGTCTTGAGAATTGCAGTCAGTCCCGTGTTGAACTTACGCTCGCTCTTAGGAGCTCTGGCCAGGTCTGGGCACAGAGTCCGCAGCTCCTTCACGGCACGCTTTTTGTCAATGCCTGCAAGATAAGACAAGGCATGGGATTAGTAAAGGACGCGTTTTCAACGGTTGACCGAGTGTGCAATCATGAACTGACCTGGTAGAATCTCGTCTGAGTCATCGGCGCGAAACAGAGTGACTAACGACAACAGCCACTCAAGGCACTGTGCCTGCCGCGTGTGCCTCTCCCAATTCGGTTGCCACAAGTCAGGAATGAAAAGTCGCACGCCGGAAAGAGAGTCGAGGTCGCCGAGATTTGACTGGAGCTGTTGGACGAGGAGCTCCGCCATGTCGGCGCAGAGCGCCACACACGCGTCGTGATGACCTGGTCCAAGATAGTTCGCCACTCTGCGCTCGTGTAGGATGACCTTGAAGCGGTTGAGGCTCCCATCTGACGACGCGCCTTCCACCACCATCTCTGGTGACCCCTTCGGTCCGTGCTTCTCAATGAAGCGATAAAGCCGCTCGTTGGGGCCGCCGCCGAAGTCGTCTCCGTAGTCGATGTACCGGCTCTCCAAGAGAGACGTTGTGTGCAAAATATGCGTATGCACCAAGGGGTAGTCGAGCTGCCACACAAAAGTGCAGAGTGAGTTAGTAAACGGGTACATGTGCAGACAACACAAAACATGTACTCAAGTTACTTACCTCCCGCTGCTGGAAAACCTTGGAGAGGATGTTGAGGAGCTCCAGAACGTCCGCGAGGAACCGTAGCAGGAACTGAAACCGGTAGGACGTGACGAGCTCATACATCGTCTGGTCCTTCCACTCTGACAGCATCACCACGATGGCAGGGAGGACCTCGACAAAGCGGGCGACTGCAGCACCCCTTGAAAGCCACCGCACCTCGTGGATTCCTTGCACCTCGAGATTGGTAGACGTGAAGACCTCTTGCAGCTCCATGAATCGTTGATGCCACGGTGATGATCGCCCCAGGTACTCAGCGACGGCGCGGATGACGTCGTCAATCATGTTGAACGTGGGTATAGCCTCTGCAGCAACTTTGGCAGCCAAAGCCTCTCTACACATCGGACAAACAAACAAGATTAGCATATAATTATAAACCTCACCAACGTCTCCACATGAGCATTAAACAAAAACGAACCGGTGAGCAATGCAGTGGAACGAAACCAGGTTGGGGATGAGCATCTGAAGTTGAGCAACCACACCATTGTGGGCCCCCACCATCACCATGGCGCCGTCTGTGCTCACTCCTGAAATACGGCGGAGATCAACGCCGACAGCCCTGAGGTGGGAAAGCAACAAACTACACAGGGATGCAGCGTCAGCTTTCTCAACCGTAAGGTGAGCAACGAACTCAATCACAATTTGACCGTCGCGCAGAAAGGTGGCAAACACAATCATGTGTTTGCCGCGCCGCCGGTCGGTGCTCTCGTCCAGAATGATCCCGGTGAAGGGGCTCGTTAGAAGGTGTTCTAGTTGCGTTGTTTGGAGCCATGTTGCAATTGCCTGAGTTAGTTCCCGGAAGCCGTACCTGTACAAAAAACCAAACAGAGGCAGTTGGCGATCGAAAAGGAGAGAAAACCAACAATACGGTGGTTACAACCGCCAATACTTACGTATTGTAGTACGTGCCGTACCCCTGCTCTGGAAACCCGGCCACCTTCTTCTTCGCCAGGTAGCGCACTAGCCGAATCCACGAGTCCATGGGCTCGTTGCACTTGCTCATGAAGTACAGCGAGTCCACGAGCGACGAAACCTGCAACATCTCCTTGTCCTCCGCTTTCGGGTGTAGATCGATGCGCTGCTGTCGCCCATATTTCTGCAAGAGGTCCTCCTGCCGCTGCAGAGCAAATCGATGCTTCACCGTCCCTTCATGCTTCTTGAAGGACTGCGTCTGCACGTTGGTAGCGCCCTCACCACGCCGTCCACACTTGCCTGTCAGTCCCGCGAACTCCAAGCATATACTGCATTTAAAACCAGGGGCACCAGAAGTGGTTTTAGTTAGAATCAGCCACGAGAAATCAGTAGACCACTTTGTCTTATAACGAAAGTGAGCTTCTTCGTATTTCAAATCCAACTTGTCGGAGGGAGATTTGTCAGTGGCTTTGAGCTGTCCTGCATGGGAGGTTCGTCGCTCTCTGCAGCTTCAACGGTCGATGGAGGAGGTGGAGTTGCCCACAGAAACGTGGTCCGTCGGTACCGCAGCTTCGTCGGTGGTGCGGGACGGGACAGTGCTTCAACGGACGCCTCCTCGGGCACCGACTGTGGCGCAACGATCACGGGTTCAGTGACAGGCTCGAGCAGAGATTCAGAGTGCATGGAAACCGGAGTGCGACTAGAGCTAGGTTGCGAAGGTGGCGCAGGCGGTGGAACATGCTGCGGAAAGACTGATCTAAGAAATTCTAGGCCGGTCACAGCGTCGGAAACAGGGCGACGATCGGCATCTTCGTCATCGTCGGGCCCTTCGGCGGCAGCGTCTATGGCTGCCATCGAGTCTGCCGAGTGTAGGTTTTGCGAGGTCGAGGAGAGGGAGCCTGAAACAAGGGTTCTGGCACTACTTTCCAGCGAGGCAATTGATGTGAAGCGAGAGAGACATGGCACAGCAGAGTGACCCTCAAGAAAGGCGACGATGAGGAAGAGGAGAGGTCCTCGTATTTGGACCGCTCATCTCCCTGGTGGTCACTGCATGCATGGCACCTGGCCGTGTATGCAGGGAAGGTGGGGTGGGTGGGGTGGATGGATGTGGTGATGTGAGAGTAGCAGCGCGCTGCGAGCTATGCGTTGGCAAGGAGGACAGTGGGGTGGGGTGGATGGTTGTGCTGTCGTCCAGGTGCAGCGCGCTGCAAGCTATGTGTTGGCAAGGAATCTTGCCAACACTGCATGCTGTGCTGCCGCGATTGGCTGGAATTGAACCAGAGTACAGCATTTCTGTACCAACGCGACTGTGCGGTGCCGCGCTCGAGAAATTTTCGTTTCCAGCCCGTGATTGACAGTGTTAGTGCAACACGCCACCAGGCTGGCGGAAACACCTGCATTACCCGTTTCAGAGTGCATCCCCGATACAAGGCTGGGGCTCAGCCTACAGTCATAAATTTCGTCTGAAATTTCAGCCAATACATAAAAAAAAAATCTGAAAAATCAGAGAAGGTACATCTAGAAAAACTTTGAGTTCAGACTAGGTACAAAAAAAAAGCCTGAATGGACTCTGAATCAGACTAAAAAGTCTGATACCTAGGGCGGGCCCTGTAAAGCACCCTCCACACTCCAGTCAGTCTGGATGGATGGCAGCAGTCCACAACACTGCTTTGGGATAACATGCCTGCTCATAACATGCAGTGCATCAACACTTAACTGAATGGAATGCAAACCAAGTATTTTCCGCAATGAGTTACCGTAACTACAGTATTGTACCATATTTCAAACCGCATCTATTTAACACAATCTTCAGTCCAACCACAACAATCTTCTGTACATCGGCCAACACAAGCACTGGCATCAGCGCCAACCCCACCCTCCACACTCCCCTCAGTCTGGGCGACAGCAGTCCATGGCACAGCGTTGGGTCGGCAGCCGTGGTGCCCTCAAAGGCTTTCCCACGGCTGCGTCATAAACACAGCGCATGGCCGCACTGTTGCAGGCATGATAATCGCACCATGGCACCACTGCATCGCTGCATGATGCCATGCCATGCGTGCAACCATCGTGCATGCATGTGCGGTTGACTCTGCCGCCCAGCCATCACTGCCAGCAGCTGGCACCGCACCCGCTGCTGGTGGCGAAATCGCGGCACTCCACCCTCACGCACTCGAGCCCATGGCCTCACCACACAACACATGTGGTGTGTGTGGCTCCACGCACACACATGCACGTGCAGCAGCGGCACATGAGACGAGCACGTGGCTGTTCTGACACCGCCCTCCAATCTCATGACATGAGTTGAAGGGGGGTGGTGTCAGCGGCAGCAGGCGGAGTGCCTTACCGACCTCAGGCACCCGCCGCAGAAGCACCTGGAGAGTGGAAAGCAGACAGGAAAGGGGGAGAGAGGTGGACCGGGAGGAGGGCATGTAAGGAAAGCAGGAATTTTATTGTGAAGCAGCACACGTGCACACAACACCACAAATGAGGGGTTATCGGGAGGTGGAGGAAGGAGTGGGGAAAGGGGGGGCTCGATGAAAGAAGTGGCGAGCAGTAATAGGCAAAGAAAAGCTTGAATCACGAGTCCACTCATCCATCGTTCCCTAAATCCCTCCCCAGCGGAATTCACACACACCCATGCATGACTCGCCGATACACCAACTCACAGTGATCAATGCCCCGCACGTTGCTCATCCCTCCAAGGCCCCTCCTAGGACCGCCCCCGCCTCCTCCCCCACCGCCTCCCCCTCCCCCGCCCCCTCCGCCCCCAGAGCTGCCCCCCCATGCGCCCTGTCCCCCCCCTCCTCTGCCCTTGGTCTTCTTCACTCCTGCCGCATCAGGCTGTGCGGGCATGGAGGCAAGGCGTGGAGGGAGGGGCGAGAACGGGAAGAGTGGTCTAAAGAGTGGCTGTCGTTTTTTTTTTACACAAGAGTGGCGAAAAGGAGAAGGGTGAGTTGCTGTCGAGATTCCCTTACCACACTCCCTACTGGACCCGTGCTGCTCAGTATTCCTTTAGCGATCAGCTGGCGAATTAGTGTGGAGAGAGCACGCGAGGGCGAGAGAGAGATAGAAGAGGTGGACTGTGATGGAAGGTATGTCGACAAGCTGCGAAGAGGAAAGTATAAAGGAGAGCAAGGATGAAAAATACGGTTACCGTATTAAACGGTCCGTTTAAAACGGTTGTATTATACGGCAGTTTTTGGTAAAAAACGGCGTTTTTTTGATAGACTTTTTTTTTGCATTATTTTATTTTTTCAATGCTGAAATGCCTGAACTGCCTACTACATGCTAATGCTGGAAATAGAGCTAGCTACTTGTACACCACTACTACTCTACTACTACACAACATCACCCCTCTCCCTCTTTGAGCTATCCACTACAACTTACACTTACCCACTACTTCTCACCTCCGTTGCCTCTCTCTCTCCTACGTTGAACATCACCCCCCTCCTCTACTCATCATCCTCCTCCTCCTCATCCTCCTCCACCTCCTCCTCCTCCTCCTCCTCCACCTCCTCCTCCTCCTCCTCCTCCTCCTCCTCCTCCTCCTCCTCCTCCTCCTCCTCCTCCTCCTCCTCCTCCTCCTCCTCTTCCTCCCCGCTCGAGCCATCATTGATGTCCCACGGATCCGCGCCCGTGCGGCGAGTCCTGTTGGTGGGCACATCCTCCTCCTCCTGGCCACTGTTGTCCGCCGCCTCCTCCTCCTCACCCTCACGCACAGCCTTTGCTTTCCCCTTACCCTTGCAAGGCTTGGCTGCGGTGCCGTTCCTCTTCTTTTTAGAGTTTTTTCCCACCTTTTTCTTCTTCTTACCAATCTGCCCGAAATTATCCCAGTCAATGGTACATCCCACATTCTCCTCTCCCTCCTCCTCCTCCTCTTCCTCCACCTCTGCCTCTGCCGGAGCAACGACACACCCTTCCTTGAGGGTGCCGTTGCTCAGATCGGCGTAGAGCTTCTCCCGCATCGTGGATTTCCTGTCAAAAGTATCCCGAGCCCTCCTCGTGAACGCGACATAAGTCACGTCCATCATCTTCTTGGCAGAGATGCGGTTACGGTCACGCCTTTGCACACGTGCAATGGCTGACCAGTAATGCTCCACCTCGGATGACGTTACCGGCTGAGATAGCGTCATCACCGCAAGCGCTTGGAGTGCCTGCACCTCCCCCCCGTACATCCACCACCATTCTGCATCGGTCAAGCGCCCTCCCTCCACCAAAACCTTTGCAGCCCATCGTGCGTCGGGGGACCCCAACCGCCCCTCGCCCTTGTGGAACTGTGCTAACTGTGCTTGGATGAGAGTGCCTGAGCGACATCCCCGCCACGTGCTTGTATGACCTCTTCCGCCCCACTGATCACCTCTTGGTCCTCCCTCACTTCCCCCAAGTACTGATTGCGCGGGTTGAGTAGCCACCCGAGCGCATGGAGTGGGTTATGCAACTGGCCGTCCCACCTCTTGGCTATGATAGCCTTGATGGCCGCCAAGAACGATGGCTTATCCTTTGCCGCAAGCAGGGACGTGCGCTTGACAAGCATGGCGGCTGCCCATGACATGTACAAACGAGAGACACGTGAGTCAAAGGCAAGTATAGATGAGGGAGAGACATACAAGCATGGCGGCTGCCCATGACATGTACAATCAATGGGCGGGAAGGTGGTTCGTGCAAGCAAGGGTATTCTTACCTCCAGCTTTGGCCGCCTCATTGGTCTTCACCGTGGCCTCTAGCATGAGGCCATACACTTGCCCCATGACTAGAGCCCGCGTGTCGACGACCCGAAGGACGTCATACACGGGCTGCAAGATGGCAAGCACCGCCGTTGCGCAATCCCAGAAAACCTCATCCAAGAGGAGGAACCGGACCGCCTTCCCCTCGTCCTGCTTTGCCACCGCCACCCCCTCCCACTCCTCACTGATGACCATCAATCGCAGCGCCTTCTTCACTTCAAGGAATCGGGTGAGCATGATGACGTTCGTGCCAAACCGAGTTGCACCAGGCCGCACCAAAGCAAGCTCACTAAACACCTCATGGAAGAGAGTGACGACGGATGCGCTTCCCTTCACCATCATGACCACTCGGCGCACTTGACTTAGGACCCGTTTCACCGCACGAATCTTCCCGAGGTCGTGAAGCATGAGGTCAAGAACATGCGCGGCACAGTTGTTGAAGAAGATTGATGGGTATCCCTCGCGCAAAATGTCGGCCGCCCTCCGGTTATTGGCCGCGTTGTCCATGACAACTTGGACGACGACCTTGTTCCCCACCTTGCAGATGGCTTTTTGGAGGAGGCCGGCAAGATAGGCGCCGGTCTTCTTTGCCGTTTTCGAGTCGACTGTTTCAACGATCACCGGTGCCGTGTCGTTGAGGGCGATAACGCACACAAGCCCTCGGCTCTTCAAGCAAGTCCACCCGTCGCACGTGAGGGTGCAGCCGCGCTTGCCCCAGCTATCCGTCATTGGCTTCACAAGCTCCTCGGTATCCGCCCGTAATTTCATAAGTAGCTGACCTCCAACCTTGTAGGGGGAAGGGAGGGTGTATGGCTTCGCGAAGGCGAGAGCCGCATCGACGAATGCCTGCACCGATTTCGACTTCGAACACTGGAACGCCCAGTCGTTCTCCGCAACTGCCCCTGCCCAGAGGTAGTCCAAACGAGAGCGAGCAGTCGTATCCGCCATGTCGCGGATGTCGCGCTGCCTAGCGCGACGAGGGGCCAGAATCTCAACCGTAGTAGAACATGAGGCGCGGTTTGATGGGCCGACTGACGAGCGGTCTTGCTCTGCTTCCACGCGAAGTTGCTTTGCGACGTCAGAGTCACAGGGCGTCACATTCTTCTCTTTCTGCGAAGGCGTCCCGAACACATGCTGTTCTATGCGCGTCGCGCTGGCCGTCACGGGTTTGCCGCAGTGTTTGCATTTCGCAGTGACGGAGCCGTCAGGACCAGTCTCCGTCACTGCGTGTTTCCATGCTTTCGACAAAGGTCGCACCATGAGGTCTCTGCTGCACTAAACGAGAGGTTGGTCAGGCTGTAGTACTAGGAAGATATGCAAAAGTATGGTTTTGGTGCTCCTATTGGTACCTGTGAGTGCCTTAGTGACTGCTGTGTGTCGAGTGAATTCTGAAAGGGGGGTCAGTTCAGGTGAGGGGACATGATTGGCTCGATCGAATTCGGATCGCGAAGGTTGGGTTGTGTCGCGAGTGTGGGCGAAAATTTGAAGGTGGGCGCGAATTTTCAAAACGGCCAAGGCGAAACGGGTACACTGTGGTGCACTGTTCGTCAAATGTCGAAATGTTGCGACTCGGTTTTTTATTCACGTTGCGCTTTGGCGAATCAAATTTGGCGATGGCGAAACAGGTAATCCCGTTGTTCGCCATCGCCAAATGCCTTCAATGTCGCGAGGCGAATGCGGCGTAAATTCGCGACTCGGGCGAAATTTAATCCTGCTGCAATTTGTGCGACCGAAAACAAATTGATGGGCTACTTGGGGAAAAATGTGAAATTCGATAAACACTGTCTCGCTTTCAAAATTTCGGTCGTTTAAAACGACCGTATTTTTAAACTTAATAATAAAACACATTTTTACCGTATTTAACCGTATAATACGACCGTTTAAAACGATTCCGTATAATACGGTAAAAAATCAATAATTCGGTCGTTTTTTTTATCCTTGAAGGAGAGTGTACCGAGAAGAGGGTGTAGAAGAACATCTTGATGATGCGGAAGAGGCGGCGGAAGAAATCGACGTAGAAGGCGAGCTGCCATGGCGACAGGCGCTCCACCACCTCGCCTGGCGGGGGGAGAGGAGGGGGGGGGGAGGGGAGGGGGGAAGTGGCGAGAAGCAAAGGAGGGAAAGGAAGGAGGCGAGAGGACAGAAAGAGACATGATGGAGGCGAGAGGGCAGTGACGTACAGCCATGATGGAGGTGTGACGTGTGTGGGTTTCCCTGGAGGGGCCCCACTGACAACCGCAGTGGGATACTGGAAAGGTTAGAAACGCGTGGAGGGAGTAGGAACGGAATGGCGCGGGGGACAGTGTGACAGTCGCGTGCAAGTCGCCCATGGTTCATGCGGGGCTGCTGCGGCGGTTAGAGAGAACCTGGACAACACAGGAGCAGCAGCAGCAGCAGCAGTCGGCGGAGCGACGACGGGTGGCCGCGGTGTCTGCATGTAACGCCTGTGGGCTGTGTTAAGGGCACTCCGCTGCGCCAAATAACACCCTCGTTTTGACCCAGTGGGTAGCGAGGTGTTATACTGGTTTCAGAGCCTAGGGTTCGAGTCCCGGCTGGTCCACACTTTCCACCTATGGTGAGAACTGAAGTGTGTGGTTACCAGCTCGAACCCAGTGAACGATCCTGAAATCTAGGTCCCAGCGGCAGGGGGCCGACTCCCTGAAGTCCGAGGCCAACGGGGACGTTGGCACCAGGGGGGGACGAGTGTAACGCCTGTGGGCTGTGTTAAGGGCACTCCGCTGCGCCAAATAACACCCTCGTTTTGACCCAGTGGGTAGCGAGGTGTTATACTGCAGGACAACACGACCGCGCAGACAGCGACGAGACAAGCGTCAACCGTTTCCTCCCGTGAGGATGGAAGTTGTTGACGAGAAGGCGAGCAGCGCGGTGAGTGCAGACGACACGGTCACTCGCTTGCGATTCGTCTCCTCGCCGCACGCTCACCGCTGAAGTGGCTTTTTGGTCTACTCAAAAGTCAACGCCGGTTGCGTGGGGTCATACCTCTTGCTCGCTTCTGACACTCCGTCCTTCCCTTCCATAACAAAAACCGATTCGCACAAGAGACGTCGAGAGCGCCAGCACGCTACGCTACGCTACGAGGCCCACCTTGTCGGATGTACGGCATGGCTACTGTCGCCGCAGCACTGCGTGAATCATGAGCGAGTCGCGCGAGACGCACAGGTTGAGCAGCGCCAACTAGCTCGAGTGCGATCGACGCGCGCAAAATTCGGGTGTTTAAGCTGCGCGCACGCCTCGCTGACTTCACGCGACAAGCACTAGTGGAGTTGTTGTTTGGGACAGCTACTATGGCAAGGGGACTCAACTCAAGCAACATGCGACACCCAAATTTAGGTCTCGCTTGTATGCGAGCAACAATTGTAAGGTGGGGCTTGTTCTGGGAGGTGTGGTGTGGTAAATTGTAAGTCTTAGGTGTTGGAGGGAGACAAGCAGGGTTCAGTACGGCTGAGCTGTGGTGATGCTGGCTTTCGAGTGCAGCAGCAGCCAGCGACGTGGCATCGCGTCGTTGATTGGTCAACCCAGTGCGGGACACGGTTTTTCAGTTGTGAAGCCGTCCTCGTTACATCGCAAGCATTTGTACACTGTTATTTTTTCCTGCGTTTATGACTATGCTCGTATCAATGCGGAGAAGCATGCGATTTTTGTTCAAGGAATGCCCGTTTCTTTCACATGAAAGGCCCACAATACGCTCCGTCTCCTTTCATCTGCTGTGCGCTCGGTACCAGTGTTTGAAACGAGTTAAATCGCGACTCCAGGAGTCCTGCGACGATTCCTGCGCGCAATCAGAGCCGCATATCATGCAAACCTAGCATGTCCCCATTCTGAGAGAGAACCTCAGCATGGCCTCAACCCTCCACTGGTCAGCGTGTCGCACGCAGCCGCTATGTCGCACAGAGTCGGCAAAGTGTCGCACAGACTCATTATGTCGCACGCGTTCGTCGTTTCTCTCCCGTATGCCCTCGTCTCGCATCGTCCCGTTCCGCTCATCTTCCCGTCGACCCGCTATTGTCATCCTCGCTGCTAGCAATGGTCGCAGACACCACCGCCGACGAGAGCCCGAGCCACAAAGACACGTGGCCGATCGTGATAGGACGGCCGCTGATAAGGCGGCTGCTGATAGGCTGAAATCGTTGGAGGGGAGGAGAGGGGTGGAAGGGGGAAGGGGTGGTAAGGCGCCGGGTGGGCGAAGCGGCGGAGGAGGGAGCAGGAGTGGCGATGGGGGGAGGAACGAGGAAGAAGACGTATGGAGGATGGAGCTGGACCTCGGGCAGGTGAAACAAAATGCGCTGCAAGCGGCTGCCCGGCTGAAAACTCTGCGGGTTGAGGATGTTGGGGAGACGGTCAAGATGGGAGCTGATGCGGTGCAGAGCGGTGGAAAAAAGCTGCTCACGTCAGTGGGGGTGCTGGGGGAGCGAGCCAGTGATAACATGCGGTGAGAGAAGAGTGTTGGGGGGGAGGGGAAGGGGACGAGAGAGGGGTGAGTGCGGGAGAGAGGGATGCATGAAACGAGAGGGGGATACAATGGAAGGGGTGACGGGGAAAGGGGAGTGGGCGAGGATGAATGGGGGGGAAACGGGGGTTGGACGGGGCGTGAGGGCAAGCAGAGGGAGCAGAGGTTTGAGGGGGGAGGAGGGTGAAAAAGGGAACTCGGGTGTGGGGGCAAGGGGCGCAATAGGGAAAGACGGGCACAGAGGGGAGGGATGAGCGGAGTGGAGGGGAGGGATGGGCGAATAGGAAAGGGAGTTGGAGATAGTGGCGAGTGAAGGCACGTGGCCTTGGCGCCAAGGCGATGGCTTGACAGTAGGTGGGACGGAGGAGGTGCGTGACGGGTAGGGGGGTGGTGCTTGAGGGGGGTTTAGTGGACGATGCGTGCATGCGGGGATGAGGAGACTTGTGGAATGGAGGCAGGGGATCGGCAAGCGAGCAGTACATGCAGGCGAGTAGTACATGCAGGCGAGCAGTACATGCAGGCGAGCAGTACATGCAGGCGAGTAGTACATGCAGGCGAGCAGTACATGCAGGCGAGTAGTACATGCAGGCGAGCAGTACATGCAGGCGAGTTTGAATGGGTGGAGTCAGGGGCGCAAGTGCTCCTTGCTGCCTCACTCGCTTCTCCTTCTTCCATTTCCAACTGTTGAGCCCATACCTTTCCGTACCTTCCCCTCCCGTCTCACTTCTCTCCCCCCGTCCCACGTCCAGTGCTCACACGTCCTGCCATGTGTGACCCCAGCGTTTCTCACCGTTTTTCCGGGTCTCTCCTCCTGCGCCCCCTTGCTTCTCGTGCATTCTTCACCCTGCCACCCACCTCTTGCCGCACCTTCGTTGCTCTCCTTCTCTGTTTCATCCCCTCCTCAACTTTATTTCTCCCTTTCCCCCCTTTTTCCCGTCCCTCCTCCCCCTTCCCCCACCCCTTCAACACCTCCTCAGGCGCAATCTCTCCTCCCTCACCTCCTGTGTCTCTGTCTCTCCTTCCGGCCGCCTTTCCCTCTCTTTTCGCCCCTCCTCTCTCCGTCCCCTCCTCCTCCTCGCCTGCCTCCTCTCCCTCCTCCTCTTCCGTTCCCGCATCCTCCCCCTCGTCTCCGCCCTCCTCTCTCTCCTCCTCTCCCTTCCCCTCCTCTTCTTCCGCGTCCTGGGATTCCGCTGGGCGGAGGGGGATCTCAGCTGGGGGGAGTGGGGGTGGGGGAGCGGTGGGGGAAGGGGCAGGGGGAGGCGGGTGGTACGGGACCGGTCGATGGGGGGAAAGGAGGTGGTGGCGTCTGAGGGGTGGCGCAAGTGGTGGGAGGGGGTGGGCGGAGCGGGGGAGAGTGGGCGCGAGGGGGGGAAAGGGATGGGTGTGAGAGAGGGGGGTGTGCGGAGGTGGAGGAGGGGAGGAGGGGCGAGACAGAGAGGGGTGAGTCCGCTGGATATACCCGCGGAGACATCGCGATCAGAGAGAGAGCTGCGGGCGATGGGGCTGCTGACAGGGGACGAGGGGAGTGGGGGGCGTGCGGGGAGGCTGGCAGGGAGGCAGGAGGAGCCGGCGTGGTGGAGGGAGGCGTGCAGTGGCGCAGCAGGGATGGCTGCCTCTGCCTCGCCTGCTGTAGCGCCTGATATGGTAGCAGCAGCAGCAGCAGCAGGAGGATCAGATGAGAGAGCAGCAGGGGGCGGAGCATGGAGCGTGGCGAAGGAGGGCGGTGAGGAAGCAAATCTTGTCGTGCAACGTGAGTCCCATTCCCCGCTCCCTGCCCGCTCCCTGCCCGCTCCCTGCCCGCTCCCTGCCCGCTCCCTGCCCGCTCCCTGCCCGCTCCCTGCCCGCTCCCTGCCCGCTCCCTGCCCGCTCCCCTGCCCGCTCCCTGCCCGCTCCCTGCCCGCTCCCTGCCCGCTCCCTGCCCGCTCCCTGCCCGCTTCCCTGCCCGCTCCCTGCCCGCCTCCCTGCCCGCTCCCTGCCCGCTCCCTGCCCGCTCCCTGCCCGCTCCCTGCCCGCTCCCTGCCCGCTCCCTGCCCGCTCCCTGCCCGCTCCCTGCCCGCTCCCTGCCCGCTCCCTGCCCGCTCCCTGCCCGCTCCCTGCCCGCTCCCTGCCCGCTCCCTGCCCGCTCCCTGCCCGCTCCCTGCCCGCTCCCTGCCCGCTCCCTGCCCGCCTCCCTGCCCGCTCCCTGCCCGCTCCCTGCCCGCTCCCTGCCCGCTCCCTGCCCGCTCCCTGCCCGCTCCCTGCCCGCTCCCTGCCCGCTCCCTGCCCGCTCCCCTGCCCGCTCCCTGCCCGCATCCCTGCCCGCTCCCTGCCCGCTCCCTGCCCGCTCCCTGCCCGCTCCCTGCCCGCTCCCTGCCCGCTCCCTGCCCGCTCCCTGCCCGCTCCCTGCCCGCTCCCTGCCCGCTCCCTGCCCGCTCCCTGCCCGCTCCCTGCCCGCTCCCTGCCCGCTCCCTGCCCGCTCCCTGCCCGCTCCCTGCCCGCTCCCTGCCCGCTCCCTGCCCGCTCCCTGCCCGCTCCCTGCCCGCTCCCTGCCCGCCTCCCTGCCCGCTCCCTGCCCGCTCCCTGCCCGCTCCCTGCCCGCTCCCTGCCCGCTCCCTGCCCGCTCCCTGCCCGCTCCCTGCCCGCTCCCTGCCCGCTCCCTGCCCGCTCCCTGCCCGCTCCCTGCCCGCTCCCTGCCCGCTCCCTGCCCGCTCCCTGCCCGCTCCCTGCCCGCTCCCTGCCCGCTCCCTGCCCGCTCCCTGCCCGCTCCCTGCCCGCTCCCTGCCCGCTCCTGCCCGCTCCCTGCCCGCTCCCTGCCCGCTCCCTGCCCGCTCCCTGCCCGCTCCCTGCCCGCTCCCTGCCCGCTCCCTGCCCGCTCCCTGCCCGCTCCCTGCCCGCTCCCTGCCCGCTCCCTGCCCGCTCCCTGCCCGCTCCCTGCCCGCTCCCTGCCCGCTCCCTGCCCGCTCCCTGCCCGCTCCCTGCCCGCTCCCTGCCCGCTCCCTGCCCGCTCCCTGCCCGCTCCCTGCCCGCTCCCTGCCCGCTCCCTGCCCGCTCCCTGCCCGCTCCCTGCCCGCTCCCTGCCCGCTCCCTGCCCGCTCCCTGCCCGCTCCCTGCCCGCTCCCTGCCCGCTCCCTGCCCGCTCCCTGCCCGCTCCCTGCCCGCTCCCTGCCCGCTCCCTGCCCGCTCCCTGCCCGCTCCCTGCCCGCTCCCTGCCCGCTCCCTGCCCGCTCCCTGCCCGCTCCCTGCCCGCTCCCTGCCCGCTCCCTGCCCGCTCCCTGCCCGCTCCCTGCCCGCTCCCTGCCCGCTCCCTGCCCGCTCCCTGCCCGCTCCCTGCCCGCTCCCTGCCCGCTCCCTGCCCGCTCCCTGCCCGCTCCCTGCCCGCTCCCTGCCCGCTCCCTGCCCGCTCCCTGCCCGCTCCCTGCCCGCTCCCTCCCGGCCCGCTCCCTGCCCGCTCCCTGCCCGCTCCCTGCCCGCTCCCTGCCCGCTCCCTGCCCGCTCCCTGCCCGCTCCCTGCCCGCTCCCTGCCCGCTCCCTGCCCGCTCCCTGCCCGCTCCCTGCCCGCTCCCTGCCCGCTCCCTGCCCGCTCCCTGCCCGCTCCCTGCCCGCTCCCTGCCCGCTCCCTGCCCGCTCCCTGCCCGCTCCCTGCCCGCTCCCTGCCCGCTCCCTGCCCGCTCCCTGCCCGCTCCCTGCCCGCTCCCTGCCCGCTCCCTGCCCGCTCCCTGCCCGCTCCCTGCCCGCTCCCTGCCCGCTCCCTGCCCGCTCCCTGCCCGCTCCCTGCCCGCTCCCTGCCCGCTCCCTGCCCGCTCCCTGCCCGCTCCCTGCCCGCTCCCTGCCCGCTCCCTGCCCGCTCCCTGCCCGCTCCCTGCCCGCTCCCTGCCCGCTCCCTGCCCGCTCCCTGCCCGCTCCCTGCCCGCTCCCTGCCCGCTCCCTGCCCGCTCCCTGCCCGCTCCCTGCCCGCTCCCTGCCCGCTCCCTGCCCGCTCCCTGCCCGCTCCCTGCCCGCTCCCTGCCCGCTCCCTGCCCGCTCCCTGCCCGCTCCCTGCCCGCTCCCTGCCCGCTCCCTGCCCGCTCCCTGCCCGCTCCCTGCCCGCTCCCTGCCCGCTCCCTGCCCGCTCCCTGCCCGCTCCCTGCCCGCTCCCTGCCCGCTCCCTGCCCGCTCCCTGCCCGCTCCCTGCCCGCTCCCTGCCCGCTCCCTGCCCGCTCCCTGCCCGCTCCCTGCCCGCTCCCTGCCCGCTCCCTGCCCGCTCCCTGCCCGCTCCCTGCCCGCTCCCTGCCCGCTCCCTGCCCGCTCCCTGCCCGCTCCCTGCCCGCTCCCTGCCCGCTCCCTGCCCGCTCCCTGCCGCTCCCTGCCCGCTCCCTGCCCGCTCCCTGCCCGCTCCCTGCCCGCTCCCTGCCCGCTCCCTGCCCGCTCCCTGCCCGCTCCCTGCCCGCTCCCTGCCCGCTCCCTGCCCGCTCCCTGCCCGCTCCCTGCCCGCTCCCTGCTTGCTCCCTGCCTCCCTGCCTGCTCCTGCTTTCAGCTTCCATCACTGCATCCCTGCTTTCGTCTGCTCATCAGTGTGTCTGTCCCTTCATTCATCACATTCCACTTGGCGCAACCTCTCCTCACAGTCCTCTCCTCATCCCACTCCCCTTCTCTCCTCCGCCATCTCCCCCTGCCGCCACAATTACCCCGGCCGCCACCATCAGGCATGTTGAGTCAGCGGCTGTTGGGTCAAGACTTCAACGCCTCCGACATTCTCCAGGTGCGCACGTGGCATGCATGGCGCACGTGGCATGCACGGCGCAAGTGGCATGCACGGCAGCTAGTGGCTTGTGCCCTCTCGTTCACTCCAGCAGCAATGCTTGTTCACCCCGGAACTGGGTCATTCACTTACAGTAGAATCGAATCCTGCAAGAAACAAACATGTCGTGACCGGTGTTGCTTTTGTCGAAGCGGAAATTGGCAGAAAGGAGGTGGGGAGGAGGCGACGAAAGCCTCTGATGTGTTTCTCGAGCAACGCAAATCAATCGTTCATGCCAATTAAATGAAGGTGTGGTGTGGGCCCTGAGCTCATTCCTGCTACTCTCCCCACTCTTCTCCCCCTGCCAATCCCAACCCCCTCCTCAGCTGTACACGGCGTATCGTCGCAGTGGGGCCACAGTGGGCATCGATTCAGACAACAGCCGTGACGCGCTCTTCAGAGCCGCCATCCACACCGCCTTCTCTGCTGCCGCCGGGTAACTGCACGCTTCCTTCGCCTTCTTGCTTCCCATGACCACCAGCCTCCCCTGTTCATTGCAGGGGCGGGGGCGGAGGTGGGGCCAGCACTGGTGACCATGCCGCGCACTTGGCTGCGTTATGGTCAGGAGGCAGGAGTGGAGTCAGCGTTAGGACCGAGCTGCATAACGGATGGGTGCCCCTCGGTAACTGCTACCAGTGCAGGGTGCAGCGCTGCTCGGCCGAACCGAAGCCCACGTGACGAGGTGAGGTTGTCGGCGGCAAATGCGCTTTCGATGATTAGAGTCGAAGGAGCTCCGTATGAGGAGCGTGTGAATGGTATCAAGAACTCGAGAGGGGTTCCCCGCAACCCCGCAAAGACGGCTCCCTGTTCCACTCGTTGAGTGCGTTGGATATATCCAGCTGGAAGGTTGAGATTCCCTCTTGGGATTGCCTACTTGTGATTTTGTGTGGCGTGCGTGGATGATTGCTTCTGCTCCACCCAATGTTGTAACCCCATACTGAAGCGAGCGAATGGCGCTGTGCGAATGGGCCGGCGAGGAGAAGGGCGGCTTTTGCAATGGAGCACCTTCGCCCACTGCATGGGCCGAGTGCCGCCTTCCAGTATGCGTGATGTGGTTACCAGATCCATGTTCCTGCTGGGGCAGTGTTCACAAGGGCGAGTAGGTGTTCGGCAGTGGTCCGCATCCCTCAGGGCGACGTCCGGATGACAAACGTCATACCACTTGGTCCTGCGCCTACTTCGTTTTTGCACGCGTACAAGCTCCTGATACCACTTGGTCCTGCGCAGGTTCCTGATTGTGATAGCGGGCGGAGTTGCGACGACGTGGGAGTCGAGCCACCCTGGTTGTTCCTCAGCGCTCAGTGGGTGGCGAGGGAGTGTAGGGCTCCCAGCGTCACAGTTGTTGCCTCGCTGACGCGAGTGCTCTCCAGGGCTTGAAGCGACTTGGCCCTTGTCATTCCAGAGCTGTCGCCTGGGTGATTTTCCCAGCGTCGTCAGCTGCATGCCGTTGGTGTGGTGGCACGTCCACCACTCGGAGACCAGTGCCTGGTGGCCTGGTGTGGAGTTGGCGCCCCCTCCCCGCCGTATGTAGACGTGCTGCCTCCCATGCTCTCCTTGCCTCCCATGCCTCTTCTAGGCACCATAGCCGCATCAAACCTTTCCAATGCTGCTGGGTGAATCCTCACGAATGTAATGATGTCCCCCCTCCGCCACTAATTTCGCCTCCCTGCATGCTCCTTATGCTCCCCCTCATGTTCCCCTGTTCTCCCTCCGTTCTGTTTCTGTCTCTTGCCATAGCTCCTTCCAGCCCATTCCCACCCTGCTGTTGCCATCTTAACACCTATACTTTCTCTCCTTGTTCCATCATCTGCCTCTTTCCACCCCCCAGCAACCCCCTCCCCGCCCTCCCCCCAGCGGACATTCCTCTCTTCCTCGCCTGCCTGGCAGCGGCCATCCGTCTGCCCTCTCCCCGTGCGCTCACCATGGTGCTTGCCGCCCTCGCTGCCCGCACCCGCTCCTCCTTCCTGCAGGCCTGGGTGAGTCACAGGCTGGGGTGAAAGGTAGGTTTGGGTGAGAGGCAGGTTTGGGTGAGAGGCAGGTTTGGGTGAGAGGCATGTTTGGGTGAGATACAGCCTCGTGTGGGAGGCAGGCTCCGGTGCGGGGAAGGCTCGGGTGAGAGCAGGCTTGGGTGAGGGCCATTGGGTGATATTGATGAACTGCAAGGGTAAGTGCGAGTGGGGATGAGCATGGGTGGCTGGGAAACCGGAAAGACTGGGATGTCCCATTTTCTTTTGCAAGGATCTTTTTGGTGGGCAGCCCAGCCAAATTTTAACGTATTTTGTGCGAATTTGCGTGTTATGTATATACGCTAGAGATTATATGTCAGAACCCCGTACACACACCGTGCATGTCCATCGCACGTCCATACACGATACTGCATACACCATGCACTTTGCACCATGCACCTTACACCAAACGTCATCCACCACATGCTACATATCAACATATCCACCATGCTCCATACACCATTGCACCGCACGTCATGCATCATGCAGACGTTCTCACTCGCCATGATTTTCACTCGCCATGATTTTCACTCGCCATGATTCTCACTCGCCATGATTTTCACTCGCCATGACTTTCACTCGCCATGATTTTCACTCGCCATGATTTTCACTCGCCATGATTTTCACTCGCCATGATTTTCACTCGCCATGATTTTCACTCGCCATGATTTTCACTCGCCATGATTTTCACTCGCCATGATTTTCACTCGCCATGATTTTCACTCGCCATGATTCTCACTCGCCATGATTCTCACTCGCCATGATTCTCACTCGCCATGATTCTCACTCGCCATGATTTTCACTCGCCATGATTCTCACTCGCCATGATTTTCACTCGCCATGATTTTCACTCGCCATGATTTTCACTCGCCATGCTTCTCACATGCCATGCATGCGGGCAGGCACTGGTGAAGCAGAATCGGCGCAGAGAGGCGGAAGAGGAGCTTCAACGCCTTGCCAGCATCGCCACCACCCTGCCCCCCCCACCCAACTCGGTATGCCCCCCTCCACCCAAGCGGACAGCAACTCACCCCACCTACGCCCCCCTCACCCTACCTATGCCCCTCTCACCCCACCAATGCCCCCCCCACCCAACCCATGCCCATCTCACCCTACCCGTACCCGTCTCTCCCCAAAACCCTCTCAAACTATAACCCCCTCACCCCATGCCCGACTCACCCATGACCCTTTTACCCCCATACCCATCACACCCCATACCTCTCTCACCTCATAACCCTCTCACCCTATGCCCCACTTAACCCATACCGTTCTCACTCCAAGCTCCTCCCACCCCATACCCCTCTCACTGCATGCCTCTCTCCCTCCATGCCTCTCTCGCCCCATGCCCCTCTTACACAATACCCCTCTCATCCCATATCCATCTCACCCCATACCCCTCTCATCCCATATCCTTCGCACCCCATACCCCTCTCACCCCATACCCCTCTTACCCCATACCCCTCTCACCCCATACCCCTCTCACCCCATACCCCTCTCACCCCATACCCCTCTCAACCCATACCCCTCTCACCCCATACCCCTCTCACCCCACGTTATCACCCCCGCTCTCACACCATCACACTCACTTCCCTCTCCCCCCTCTCTGACACCTCTCCCACACTCTCCCTCCCTCACCCCTTCCCCCATTCCTGCATGCACCATGGGCCGCCAGGTGGAGATGGAGATGGTGTCGGGGGGGCCTGGCAACACCTGTCCCCCCCTGTTTAACCCCTACTGCCCCTCCCCTCCTCTCCCCCGTCACCCCATTCCTGCATCTCACCCCATTCCTGCGTCTCACCCCATTCCTGCGTCTCACCCCATTCCTGCGTCTCACCCCATTCCTGCGTCTCACCCATCACCTACATTCTATGGGGACCGGCAGGCGGAGATGGAGATGGTGGCGGCGGGGCTTGCACCTCCTGCGCTCCCCACTATCACCCCCTTCCCCCTCCCGTCCTCCCCTCCCACCTGTTACCTACTTGCCATACACACCAACAGGCGGAGATGGAGATGGTGGCGGCAGGGCTGGCACAGAGGATAAGCCACGGGGAGAGGGAGGAGCTGCTGTGGGTCTACTGCAGGGCGGGCGGGAAGGAGACAAGAGACGCCATGGCGCGTGCGCTTGGCCTGTAGCAGTGTGCATTTGCCCCCTCTGTCGAGGTTGTTAGGCGGAATGGAGCTGAGAGGTTTTTCAAGCGAGGTGCCTTTCAAATACGGCATTGCAGCGGATGTTTGACCAGTAGACCTGCTTCCTGGTATCAAAATGTAATTTGCTGTGAAAGGTTATTAAAGTCCACTATCTGGTGCTGGATATTGAATGATATAATTAGAGGTTACTGTATATTTCATCAGTGGAGAAACAATATAACAAATGATTCTTTCAGAGATCACCTCCAAACATTTCGATGAGAATTAGCAGGGTTTAGTCAGTACTCCCTCAACCCACACTTTCTAATGTGGTAAGGTAAAACCCCCTAAGCGAAGCAAAGAGAATATACCCTACAAATAACCACGGAATGATAATATCTTGGCTACCAATCGCCACATGAGGAAGCTACCTCGTGATCAGCAGATCCAAAGCACTGACGTTCGTACGAATGTGCATCAGATGAGGCAGGCTCATCAGCTTCCCCACTCCCCCCTGTGTCACTGTGGAATCCCACAAGTCTAGCAGCTCCAGTGTAGTCAACTGAGAGACCTGCTCCATGCCAGCATCGGTCACACCAGGTGGCACTGCCAGGATCTTGAGCCTGGTGAGCGAGAGAAGGTGCTGCAGCCCATCGTCCTGCACCCCAGTGGAGCCCAGTTTTAGACCTTCCAGGTGCACCAGCTTCCCCACATGCACCATTCCGGCAGATGTGACATGCTGGCAGCCGACCAGGTCTAGCAGCGTCAGGGAGGAGAGGCCTTCCACATGCTGCAAGGCGGCATCCGTGACGCTGGTGCCCACGAGACTGAGGATGTGCAGGCTGCTGGTGAGCACCCCAATGCCGTGCAAGGCATCGTCTGAGATGGGCGTGTTGCGAATATCCAGCCCACGCAGGTGGGGCAGCCTGTAGAGTTGCTTGATGCCCTCTGAACTGAACCCCGAGGAGCCATCAAGGCCGATTGACTGCAGCTGAGTCAAGGTAGAAATTCGTCCTAAAGCCGCGTCTGAGAGGCAGGAAATGTTCTTCACGTCCAGAGCGGTGCGAGCTGCTGAATCCTCAACTCTTGCTGACAGGAAGGCCTGAGAAGGGTGCAGATGGATGGAAGACACAACGTGGGAGGTACCATCAGCACACAACATGAGAAGGGCGCAGATGGATGGAAGACACAACGTGGGAGGTACCATCACTCTCAACTTCAGACTCTGCATACCAGCTCACGGTGTGTGTGAGCGTTCCTTCCAGCACCAACACACGGTCCTTGTGTTGTGCCAAATCCGCCTTCACTCTCACCATCTCCTCCACATGCCCTCTCAGCTCGAGTGAAAGCATTGCTCCCCTTCCCTCAGCCTCCTCCACCCTTTTCATGGTTGCTTGCAGCTCCGGGGCGAGAACCGTCACTGTCGTCTCCATGGCCTCTTGCCTCTTGTGCCATTCACCGCTCTGCCCTAAACTGAATGGTATCTACGACCTTACTCGCAAGCTCCCTGTTTGTGGGATGGAAGTACAACAGGAAACTAACATTGGTTAAAACATACAATATACTTCATAAAGAGGTAGATTCAAAGCGGGTAAAGAAATCATATGCAGAAAGATGTATGCATTGAAAGCTTAAGGGGTACAAGTCCAGAAGGATGCAAGGCTGCAAGGCTGTAGTGACGAGGAGCAAAACATGTACAGGCACCGAGAGAATGACATTAAGATCTGGGTATGGGGGGTACGCATAGAAGAAAGCAGTCGGACATGAAGAGGGAAGAGCTGCGGAGGACGAAGGCCATGAGCAGCCCGTTGACTGCCCCATCCTCTTCACACGTGTGAGGCATGGAGGGGTCAGCTGGATACCTCGTGGCACGAGGAAGGAATCTGAAGCGCATGGGAGGAGGATGGAACCTGAGATACAGGGGAGGAGGAAGTGCGGGAGTAGCCAGAGACAGGAGCAAGGACGTCTGTTGAACCGGTGAGCATAGAGCAGACGGAACGACTGCGACATACATATGTGTCATGTAGTGCGTGATTGGGCGACAGAGAGCAGAAAATGGGCGGAGGGGAGGAAAGGACGAGGGGGAGACACGAATAGCATGGAAGATGAGAGCGACAGGTTACCTTGGCTAGTCTGTCTGTAAGATGAAAGTAATATTCGGTCTGACGGAAAAAGGAACGTGGATTTTGAAAAAAAAAAGGGGGGGATGACAAACAAGCTCTTCCCATGAGACATAGGAACGGCCCAATGAAACAGTCACTAAGCTGTTCTGGCAGAGTAGTAGAAGTAGGAAGTGCTCTTAGGAGAATTTCAGAAAGATGGTAGCAAGATAGCTTTACAAGAGATCATATGATGGCTTACATTTCAGAGGTACATCCTAATATACTAGGATACTAGCTATGGCGCCTCGAGCAGGTCGCTCAGGTCGCCTTTCATATTCCTAGAGCTAGGAACAGCAAGGCATAGCATTTATTATTATGTACATAGCTTCCTAGCCTTGTTGTCTAGTCCTAGAACCAATCAGCAAAGTCTAGGAAAACGCTAATGTAATGGGCAGAGATTTCTCTGTCTTGTTGTCTTCCAAGTCGTCGTTGATCATGATGAGTACGAGCACTGCTGGAAGTAGTCATAGCTGTAGGGTCTTGTGCTGTCGAGTAATCTACTGCGCTGTAGGTAGTTCTCTGCCCCGTTGTGTCCAGCACTAGTGTGCTCTCTGTACTTTGTTCCCATGGTTGGAAATTCAGAAAGTCGGGTCGCACATTTCAATGTTGGAGTTCCAACATTGAATTCCCGAAATGCACTTAGGGTGTGTTCCGAATTCTGGTTCGGATCACAAGGAGCTGAGTTGGCGAAATCGAGGAAGGCGAGATCGCCTTCGTCTTGCTACATTACTCCCCTCTCCAGCAAGCACCGTCCTCGGTGCTTGAGCAGATGCAAGGTAGCTTTGAAGGGCTCTCTGGGCATTCTGAAGGCTTGTCTCGGGTATCCAGAGGTTGTGAGAAGAGTCTTTTCCACGCCACTTAACTAAGAAGTAAGTGCCACGAGGAGAGGTTTCATGGGACAGAATTTTCTCAACTTCAAAGAGATCAGGGTTAGATGTGAACATAGGAGGACGAGGAGGCAGAGGTAAGAGGGGGAAATGGGCTGGAGGAATGTGGTAAGGACGTAGCAGCTGAACGTGAAAAACAGGGTGTATGTTGATGTGTGGTGGAAGTTTCAAACGGTAGGTGAGAGGAGAGAGAACTTGGGTGATGGTGAAAGGGCCGATGAAACAAGGTGCAAGTTTATGGGTGAGACCTTTCTGCAGCAAGGGGAGGTTTGTGGTAGAGAGGAGGACTTGGTCACTTGTGTGGAACTGAAGGTCACGACGGTGTTGATCGGCATACCAGATCATTCGGTGTTGGGATTTGAGCAAGGAAGCGCGTGCTGCTGCAATGGTCTTTTCCCGAGTAGAGAGGAATTCGGCTGCCGGTTTGGTGTCGCTGCTGTGGACGAGAGAAGCCGGTGTGCGAGGTTGCTGCCCTGTAGCGAGGAAGAATGGGGTTTGTCCTGTGGCAAGGTTCACCGTGTTGTTGTAGGAGAATTCGATCGATGGCAGATGCTGGTCCCATTCGTTTTGCCGTGCATTCACGCATGCGCGCAGAGCATCTTCAAGGGTTCGATTCATCCTCTCGGTCTGCCCATCGGACTGAGGATGATAGGCAGTGGAGAGATGAATCTTGGTGCCCAATCTGTTGAAAAGGGATTGCCAAAATCTGCCAACAAACCGAGAATCACAATCACTGATTAGTAAGGAAGGGATGCCATGGAGACGTACTATTTCCTTGAAGAAGAGATCAGCGACATTCTCAGCTGTAGCTGTGGTGGAGGTAGGGAGAAAGTGTGCCATCTTGCTCAGCTTGTCCACGACGGTGAGGATGGCGTTGTGATGGGAGGAGGTGCGAGGCAGATCTGTGATGAAATCGAGAGTCACATGAGTCCATGGGAGTAGAGGGATTTCCAAGGGGTGTAGGAGGCCATAGGGTGCTGCGTTGCGAGCCTTGTTGCACTGGCATGTGTGGCAGCTGCGAACATAGGAGCGGACGTCTCGAGAGAGCTTGGGCCAGAAGAAGTTGGAAGAGATGGCTGCAAGCGTTTTGTCCACTCCGAAGTGCCCATTCTGGTCATGATGCTCGCGTAGCAGGAGATGGCAAAGCTTGCGCTCTGCGGGGACGCAGATGACTCGGGAATCTGCCTTATACCAAAAGGGGGATTCGTAGAAGACAGATTTATCATCAGCAGCAGAGTAGAGATAGAAATGGTCACGATGATACCCTATGGTGAACTTCTTGATGAAGCTTTCGTCCCATGTGACGCTTCCGATGGTGGTGAGCTGAGGTTGAGGAGGCCGGGTCAAGGAATCAGCAGGGTTGAGGCGGCCAGCGCGGTATTTGATTTTCAGCTCCAGTACATACTGCTCTAGGTACTCCATCCATCGGGCCTGCCTCGGGGTGAGATGGGGCTGCGTCTTCAGGTGTTGCAGGGTGCAGTGATCGGTTAAGACAGTGACGGGCTGCATGTGAACATAGCAGCGCCACTTCTTGATTGCATGGATGATGGCCAGCGCCTCGCGATCGTGAGTAGCATAGTTGCACTCGGCAGGTTTGAGTTTCCGTGACTCGAAGGCAAGAGGCTGAAGGCCATGCCCTTGATCTTGACAAAGAATTGCACCCGTTGCAACCTGAGACGCATACTTGCTCTGTCTGGCGAAGAGACGATGCTCACGAAGCCGTGTGAAGACTTGCCTTAGATGCTCGACGTGTTCCTTCAAGGATTTGCTATAAATCAGAATGTCATCGATGAAGATGATGACAAACCGGTCCAAGAAATCCCGAAAGACACTGTGCATCAAGGACATGAAGGTGGCAGGGGCATTCGTTTTGAGAGGAGGTTGCAGCAAGTGGGGGTAGAGGAGGAGGAGGAGAAGGTAGGTAAGGTGATGTCTCTTCCAGAGTGAGTGATGGTGA